ACACACACACACACACACACACACACACACAAAGTTAACACCCCCAATAACTACATACATACATGCACAGGCACAAGCATACGTGCACATGTGCATATCCATAACGCTGCTCCACCCAGACTAATGCAAACACATATGTATGCATGTGTGCATGTGTACACACACGTGCCCTGCACACCCGCATGCATGTACATACATGCATGCACATGTATACATCTACACACACACCCACTTCACACATACACACAGGGACACAGACATACAAGTGCATGCTTCACCCATGCACACGCTGACACAGCACAGTGCACTCACAGGCCCCAGGTACCATCAGGAAGCTGCGTCGACCGCAAGTACCGTACTATCTCTTCTCTCCAGCCCGGCTGCAGCGGGATTTTGGCCACGTAGCTGGCGATCACTAAACCTGAGAGGCAAAAAGGACAGTCCATGCTCGAAAGGCTCCAAGTACTATCAAGAGCAAACCCCTGTCCCAAGGAAGTCCCCAAACAGGGCTGTCCCCGCTTCAGTCTCCCCCAGGAAACAACCCTAGGGCTCAGGACTTCTGAGAGATGGTCGGGATAGGTCAGCAGCAACCGTACCTGTAACGCTCCCCGGGCTCGCTGAGCCCCTGCCAGCCACACCTCAGCCCACCACAGTCCGGCTCACAGGGACCCCAAATCCTGCTGAGCACCACTGGGAGCTACAGCTACCCAAGGACCCTGGAAAGTTTCAGGTAGGTGGCCCCTGAGGAGATGGTTGTTGGGCTTGGCTCTGACACCTCTTGAAGAAACAGGCAGATGACACAAGGGGCCACCTCTGGGGTCACATTGACTTGCTTATTTCTGTAAATTTTCACAAAGCACATGTGACTTTTCAAATGAGTAGGAGAAAATACACCTTCTCCACAGAGTTTTCCCTCCATGCCCCACCCTGGTCATCCCAGGCATGGCTCAGAGGCCCTTAACACTGACCCAGAACCCCTAATACAGGCTGCTAGGGCAGAACAGGGTTCCCACAGACTCACAGGAAATGCTACCCCTGACAGATCCTGCTCCTTTGATAAAAAAATACTCATGCCGTGAACAAGAAGCCATGTCACCCACAGACCTGGAGGTCTTGGGGACTAGGCCACTGAAAGCCCCACTGTCCCAATACTATACTCAAGACAATATGCCACCAACAGGTGGAAACTCAAGCAGCTCATCCCATGCTAGCCACTAGTCGGAGCCCTAACACAGGTGTGTTTGTGGGGGGCCAGGGGGTATTGTCAGTGCTTACAATGCTGCTCAACAGCATCTGGCCCAAACCCTTGGGGAGGGGACTTTCAACATGGACTTAAGACATAATAATCACCCCTGAATTAAAGCAGGAGCTTGTCCCATGGGGTCATCGGGTCTCATTTGGCTGTAAAGGAGTGCACCCAACACACTAAAAACCTGAAGGTGGCAGTCCTATGGGTTGGCCCCAAGCAGGAGCTTCACCACACAGAACACCAAAGTGATGACATGCCTGCCACGTGCCTACTGCTGCACGAGGTGACCACATCGCCCATGCCTTCTACTCCTGTCCCACGAGAAAGGCAATCAAGATAATAGGATGGGAAGAGCCTTGGGAACCATCACAATGATCCCGAAGGCGGGGCAAAGGAAGTAAGAGCCCTCTGGACTGTACCCCAGGCTAGAACTCCAGTCTCCAGAAAATACGGTGCCACTGAGACCGGGAGGAAATGGCCGAGTGCAGCCCTGCCCCAAACTAGTTATGAGTCTACAGCACCCGTGTCACAGCCTTTTCATCTGCATGGGGACCCGGGGACTGTTCTGGGCCTTGAGCAGGGCTGAGCACACAGCAGCAATGGGACATGGGCTAATGCACCCTCACACAAACTCCCAGCAGGCCCTACTCTGGGACTTAACTCAAACCAAAACCAAACTCATTGCCATCGAGTCAATTCTGACTCACAGCGACCCTATAGGACGGGACAGTGTAGAACTGCCCCTGTAAGTTTCTGCGATTTTAACTCTTTCGGAGAGTAGAAAGTCCTGTCTTTTTCCGGAGAGGACTCAACTAGTTTTCAACAACAACAAATGGGATGAATAACCAGGCAGACAACAGCAAAGAAGTTGTTCATAAAATGGCAACGAAGAGATATCAGGACTTTAAATCTACTGCAGAACTGTGTTTATCACAGACCCAGATCTTTCTTTTCTTAAGAACACGGGACACAGAATCAGCAGGATGCCAAGACCTCTGGGAAAATTCCTTCGGCAGGACTACAGGAGGGAATTCCCAGAGTATCAGGCTGTGTTTCGACATCCTCATTTCCAGGGTGCACCTGCCAAACTAATTCAGTAGCCTAGGAGCCAAGCTCCAGCCGTGGTATCAACAGTGATATACCACCACCTGAACCTGTCCTGCTGGGTCCTGCAGGCACTCCCTTCAAAGTGACATGTTGCTCCCACCCACTCCTGGCATCTTGGTGTCGGCAGGGCCCACCTGAAGAGTCCCTTCCCAATCTATGCTGGAACTCCAAGTTCCTCTCTCTACTGATATAGCCCCTTGGCACCAGTACAAAGAAAGGCTTCTAAGATAGGGTCACTTCCTCAGCACTAGCCGCAGGATGACCAGTGCGGGGTAGCCCACCCAAGTCCCTTTCTATAGAAGCTGCTGGGTTTTCACCCAAGAGCCTGGGCCAAGCTAGGCCAGGAACCCAGAATGTCGCATGGTGGTCCCACCCTGACCCCTTACAACAGAACAGGGATGGGTTCTACCAACCTGCCAGGACGAAGACTGGGCTGCCGTAATACCATGCCCAGTGCCCATCCTCAGCCTGCATCACTGCCAAGAACCTCATTCCATTCAGAGCCCCCTCCTGTGCTGTGTGGGCTTTGGGCAACTGCTTAAAGAACTTCTGCAAAGGGAAGAAAGCATCAAGGGGCCAAGTTAAAAATAGTAAACAAAATTACTTCAAAAGTTTCTGCTATTCTAATCAAAAGCCTGAACCATTTTGATCACCACAGCAAAGAAAAAAGATGGTTCCACCAGACATGGGTGCCCTTGATCGCCACTCCTACTCAACACTGTGCTGCACTTCTCAGCCAGAGCCACCTGGCCACAAAGGGAAACTAAAGGCATCCACAATAGCACGAAGTAGAAGTCTATTTGCAGGTTACATGATCCTGTGTGTAGAAAATCACAAAGACACAGCAAGAAAACTGTTGGTACCAATTGAAACATTCAGCAAAGTGTCAAGGTATAAGATTCACATGCAAATATCAGTTGAATTCCTTTATGCTAATGAAGAACACTCTAAGAAATAAAGAAAACAACCCCATTGCCAACAGTCATCTCAAAGATGACACTATTCACTGTCATTGAGTCAATTCTGACTCATAGTGACCTTATAGGACAGGGTAGAACTGGCCCTGTGGATTTCTGAGACTGTAACTTTTTTTTTTTTAATTAGGGGCTCATACAACTCTTATCACAATCCATACATGCATCAATTGTGTAAAGCACATTTGTACATTCATTGCCCTCATC